ATGATTACCATAACAAATACCTAAGTCCTAAGGTAAACTACACTAAGATACAAAAGTATAAATATTAAAACCCGCAACCTTTAATTATGAACCCACAACAATTTACCACTAGGTCATCTTATCTTTTGTAATTTCAATTTCAATTAATATTGTAAATGTGAAAGTAAGTTTGTTTATCTGTTCCACTTTCGCGATTTAAGCATTCAAGCGAACCTTATTAAATTCAGTACATAACTTATGTCATCTTTTATATTTCATAATAATATTATTATTTAAAATATTAGCTGTGCCCCGCGGTTTCACCCACGTTAAATTTGTTTAATTATAAACATCAGTTTTACAATAATATATGGAATCTGCCCGATTTATTGACATTTATAATTACTGCTCCTCTCCCTTGAGTATAATTGGGTAGGATGATGATGCCTATACCCTTAAACGGGCTACCTAATGCAAAAAGAATTTTTCAAATCAAATTAGTGGTTCCTAAGCTTAGCGCGTTCAATCAAACAAACAAACTCTGCCTCTATATAATATTAGTATAGATTATATGATGAAAGAATTGTCCAGAAGTTATAATGAAGAATAGAAGGAGACCTCGAGGAGATTTTTAAGTCTATTATACTTAAATATGGTCATTGGTCAGGTCAAGAGTCAAGACCTCATGACTAGCACGAATGAAAATAGTGATGACAGTGGGAGATACTCGTATGTAGAGATCGTAGGGATGTAGCGATATGTTGTGTATGTACGAGTATGTAAGATATTTAAAACTAGTATAGACATAATACGACTACGCAAAGGCATTGGTTTCAGACATCTATACATATAATAAAACTAGCATTGCCCGCGGCTCCGACCGCGTTCAGGTGACCAAAAACCAAATTCTTAGGTTTTACATATTACTATACTCTTACATTGCAGTTTTTGTATTTTTTCTCAAAAATGAGACATTTTCCCGCGGTAAAAAGTATCCTATATGTTGACCTAGATAACCAGTTAACACTATACCAAATTTCAATAAAACCCCTTCAGTTGTTTTTCTGCGATGCGGTAACAGACAGACAGACAAAAATTCTAAAAACTATAGATTCTGCCTCCGTATGTATCGATAATAATGTCTATTTCAATAAGATTTTCTAAAACATATTTAATGTACAGATTCGGCTTAGTTACAATTTTATTATATGTAGGTATAGATTTTAAGTCGAATCTGTACATTAAATATTTATTGAAAAATCATTATTGTCGATACAGAGGCCGTATTTATAGTTTTTAGAATTTTTGTCTGTCTGTCTGTAAAACCAGTGGACGGATTTTGATGAAATTTAGCATGATGATAGTTGGTTATCCAGGTCAACATATAGGATACTTTTTACCGGGGGAAAATCTCATTTCTGAGAAAAAATACAAAAACTGCATTGTAAGAGAATACTATGTAAAACCTAAGAATTTGGTTTTTGGTCATCTGAACGCGGGCGGAGCCTCGGGCAATGCTAGTTTAATTATATATTTTAGTATTAAAATGAAGCAATTGCAAACATAAGAGGGAATTCTGACATTGAAATAAACAAACGAGATATGTCTGGATCTGTCGTAGATACGCCGTAAAAGGCATACATTCAAGATAATCTGATTTTAGAAATATGGAGGCCTAATCCAAGGCTTAATCTCTTAGTATTTTTTTTAAATATATTACAATAAACTATGAAATGTTAGTAAAATGGGTCAAAAATATGTCGAATAAATTACGATGAATCAAATAGTACTACACAGATTTTGGAAAAAATGTACAGTTAGCGAAAAAAAATCTAAAATACTTACTTCATGTAGGGATCAAAAGACTATGGGAACATTTAAGGTATGAGTACTAGAAATAACAGAAATAGCCGAAAACTTTTCCCATACATTTTGTACGGAAAAACGATTAATCAACTCGAATCGAATCTTTTATCTATAGAGATATAGGATGTAGATAGAAATAAAAAGTAAAGAAGAATAAAAAGTATCAACAAAAAGCAAAATACTATAAAAATGAATATATTTACACTTTTATAGTTTTCAGTGAATAGCATTTACATAAAATCAACAATTTATTTATCGAGACAAATCGATATCATAAGTCACGATTTTAAAACATTGTACGACTACAAGCCATATTGTCCTCCATATTTGGTTATCTTGTATTTGAAATATTAAAATGAAGAAGGTTTACAGTTTATGGGTGCTGTAATGTAAAAATGTCAGATTATCTTTTTTATTTAAGGCCGACATTGATTTTGTGAGCATTTTTGGTGCGACGCCGACGCCTTTAACAGGTCATTCAATGTTTGTTGGTCAATGTTACATTGTATAAAGGTATAAAGGTATTTTATATAATACTTTCTTAGGTTTACGTGAATATTTGACATCTATACATATAATAAAATGGTAACTAAGCCGAATCTGTACATTAGATATTTTTAGGAAAATCTTATTGAAATAGACATTGTTATCGATACAGAGGCCAAATCTATAGTGTTTAGAATTTTTTTCTGTCTGTCTGTCGGTCTGTCTGTCTGTTACCGCATCACAGAAACACCATTAGAGGGATTTTGATAAAATTTGGTATGATGATAGCTGGTTATCCGGGTCAACATATAGGATACTTTTTACATGTCTCATTTTTGAGAAAAAATACAACAACTGCAATGTAAGAGTATACTAATAGGTAAAACCTAAGAATTTGATTTTTGGTCATCTGAACGCGGGCGGAGCCGCAGGCAATGCTAGTTTTAAATAAAACTATCTTTTCGATTATTTCGCGGATTTATTTTGATTTTTGGGTACCGACGTTTTGAATGCTTTACAGCAATTATGGTCACGGGAGAGACTAAGGTATTAGACGACATCAACGGCATTCAAAGGCATTATATACTTGTTACAGACATTTTTTTTTATTTAAAAGATATTTTATTTAATCTGAAATAAATCTCTAATGTATCCTATTGTGAAGTGTGTGTAAATTCATAAAATATGCACGAAGCTTTTTTCTTTACGGGGTAGACAGAGAGTGTTGTGTCTTAACTTCAGTCTAAATAATTATGTATATCCCGTAAAAATCCCGGAGCCCGTAAAAAAAATCTAAATCAAAAATAGTAGTGTGATTTTGCTGTTTATGCTACTATTCTCGCTTTAGCCATACAGATCGTTTACTTTATTTAAAGAAATAATAAAACTAATACTATATTCTTTTGTATTTTTTAAGCATTAGCACCAACTCTTGCCTTTGAAAGGGAGATAATATAATATTAGCTTATTTAATATTTTTTTAATTAAAATTACGTTAGCCTTTTTTATTTATTAACATTTATTTATATACATTTGTAATTAACGCCATGTTTAAAAATCTCTCCACACAATTAACCTCCACACAGTTAACAATAGATTTCTTAGAAATTCAATTAATTTCTTAGAAATTTACCTGGAGGTGTTAATAAAAAAATAAAATAAAGCAAGACACATGGTCTTGGTTTTTTCATTTTTTTAATGCCTTCGAAAAATCGGAAACAAAAAAACAAAATACACGAAAACCGTGAAAAAACCGAAAATATAGCTTTATTTCAAACATCGGATATTCGAGTAAATTTAAAAATATTAAACAAAAAGGAGCAATTCAAATGTACATATATGAGAATATTCAATAAGTCCTTAAGTGCAATAATACGTTTACCACTTATATTATTAAGTTGCTAAGTGCATCTTTGAACTATTGCCTAAATTAGCTTATTATTATGGTCGTGGATATTATCTTAATGCGATGTTACAAAATAAGATTGTATCGTACTAATACATTACAATGTGCACTTAAATACCAACTACTAATATATTAAAATAATGTGTGTTTGTGTATAAGTAATTTTCTTACAATTTTTTTTAAAGCCTACAGAGAAAATCTTTATAAAGTTAATATGTAACCCTTATATATTATGTTCTTTTTATTTTTTCCGAAAAAAAAACAATTATTTGATGAAAATATTCATTTATTCATTTTTAATTTTTTTTTTTTAATTTTAGAATATGTAACATTTGGCCAGAGATCGCGAATATGGCTCGAACATATCGTTTATATCTGATTTGAAGATTTTTATTGATGTAGAATTATTTATTATTCTTGTTTTGCTTTAAAAAATCATTATAGACAATTGTGATGATCTAATAATGGTAATAATGTAAGACTGTTTCTTAACCATATTTTAATATGATATATGTGAAAGTGTTGTACAAAGGAGCGACGACTCTACTTTTTTATAGATATACTTTATGAGTCAACTAGTTGTTTTTATGTCTATACATATAAGTGGTTCTTGATATACATAAGTAAGGTGCAAATATTTATTTACTACTGTACCGTACTATAAAGTCTTTGTGGTGCAGTAGTGGTAGGGGTATAAGCACTGTTTTTAACGCAAGCGGTCGCAGTTCGATGATTGCTATGCATATTTCACATTAGTTTGATTAGATGCTAATCACTAGATGCGGCTTCGATTTGAATAAAGAATTTATTTCACTCAGCGGACTTTTTCGCGTCTCCTTCATATATTATAAACTGCTCTTCCCTGAGCAAATGGCTCTATGGGAAAAAGTTGACAGACAGGATAAAAAGTACGTGTTTAGATTCATAGTCATGATTTAGGAAAACATTTAGTCTATAGTCTATACTAATATTATAAAGAGGTAAAGTTTGTGAGTTTGTAAGGTTGTTGGGGGTAATCTCTGGATCTACTGAACCGATTTAGATAACATATGGTAAGAAGATAGTTTAGACCCTGGGAAGGACATAGGATTCTATCCCGGAATTCATCCCTTAAGGAGGTGAAAATGGGGATGAAAGTTTGCACTGGGAAGCACGAACCCGAGCGAAGCGAGGGTGAGTCGTTAGTGATATATAAAAAGGCACGAGTATATCCGCAGGCACTAACTAGTGCAAATATTGCTCTATCACGAAACAATAATAATTTATGAATGATTACGCACCTTTCACTCGACAAGTACGATAAAGATATTCGTAATAATAATTAATAACCCTCAATCAATTTAAGTATTAAAATAATTGCATTAGGCTAAAAGGTGTTACTTCGCAATGATCTTTGTGAGATATAATGACTTTGGCCGGGCTATTTTTTGTTTCTATTTAAGTATGTATGTATGTATATACATAAGGTTATATGGATATGAAGCTCATTTGGTGGAAGTAAAAAGAAAATAGTTAACAAATGGTTACTAATTAGTATGTACAACTGCAGATCTGAAGGTCCTAGTCCAGTACCGGTCCTAGGTTTCACATGGCTTTTTGAAGGAAATATTTCTATTTTATTTACTTAATTTTGATAAAAACATCTTAGGTTTCTTTGCTGACCGTCGTTGTATAAGGAATTCTTTTACAATTTCTAAATAAAATTTTCTTTTTATTAATTAGATAGGTATACTTAAACATAGCATTCTATAAATACTTTTTATAATAAAGTTAATTCAACTTCAAAATCACTTGATACTTAATAGTAATTATTTACCGTTGGAAGTGTTTTTTATTAGAAATTAACCAATAAAAAATATGATAATCCATATAATTGTTGAACATATCGCGTGATATACACACAAAAAATACACGCCAATTGTTTAAGAAACGTCTTTTTTTTGAAGCTGGAAAAGAAACGAAAAAAATGTGAACTGATTGGTATTCATTCTCATTTTTACTGGAAGCAATTGCAAAACTGCTTTTGCTTGGTAGCAATAGGTAGCAAAATTTAAATAAATGTAACTTACTGCTGTTCACTCCGCACTATAAGTATCGTATAAATAATATTATTAATATTGTAAATAATAATTATCGACGTACCCTCGCTTCGCTGGAGCGCTTGCTTCCTATTGCATTATTTGTAATGTTATTTGCACGACTTTTCGGCAAATTTAATTAACTATATAACACATAGATTACTTTTAGTGTTCAGTTAATCAAATATTAACTAAACAAAAAAGTAGTCTATGTGTTTTTTTTCGCTGGGGAAACCCGTCACGGGGACCCTGCCGATTGTGAATGGGCAGGGTACTGTGAGACTCCTACTCACTAAAACCCACAACGGAACCCGTCGCCGCAGTCCAATGGGGCGTTGCAGGATCGCTTGCGCACACACTACAACACCCCAAACTATGTATTACTCCAGGTCATATCTATACACTAAATTTCATCCCAATTCATTGAGTCGTTTCTACGTGAAGCAGTAATAAACATACACATAGACATACAAATAATAAATACAAGTACTTGTAATTATAAAAACTAGTCCCTCATATTGGTTGCCATGGTCAACCCATGTCACTGACATAAGATCCAAATTTGCACGTAAATGCGTATTTACTCAGCTTAATATATTAATTAATCAAACATGGAATATGCATTATGTATTCAAATATTTGATCTCTTTATTGGATTGCCATTAATCGATTACAGGAAATTCTTTTTTTGTAGTTAAACTAACTAGACGAATGGAATCCATACTAATATTATAAATGTGAAAGTGTGTTTGTTTGTTTGTTTGTTTGTTTGTTTGTTTGTTTGTTTGTCTGTTTGCTTGCCCTTTTTTCATATCGAAGCGGAGTGACGGATTGGCGTGATTTTTTATGTGGATCTAGTTGGAGGGCTAGAGAGTGACATAGGCATAGATTGTCGATCCCTTGCTCTGTGAACAATAAAAACAAATCTATCCTACTGGAACCGTATATTTTTCCTGAATAAAATGTTACCTATATCCTATTCCAGACTATAATCTATCTCTGTACCAAATTTCATCCAGATCCATTCAGCTGTTCTGGCGTAACTTAGTCACAAACATCGATATCCATCTAAACTTTTGCATTTATAATATTAATGAGATAGTAAGATTTTCATTCCGCTCAAGTTTTTTTGAATTTTTTTGGATATTTCTTCTGTATCAATGATACAATAATAAAAAAAATTGTTTAACTCTGATGCCGCTCAGAGTACCGTAACACTCATATATACCTACATAATTTGCTAGAACATAATTTGCTAAAAAAGGTCTGTAATTAAAAATCCTTAGTAGTTAACAGAAAAAAACGTGTGTACTACCGTATGTAAGAAGTTATACTTTGGCGTAACTCAACAAAAATAGCTAAAGATTTTATCCCGTATGTCACAACTCTCTGTTTGTAGGAATGCAGCTAACTTCATCATGTCGCTTTTTGGCTGTCGGTGTGCGCGCGTATCGTAAAAATTTTACTGTCATATTTTTTACAAAACGTGCCGAAAGAAGTATAACTGTAATTTTTTTTATAAAAATGAATAAGTTTAATATATTTAGTTAACTCTGTAACACATGTTTGCTACTATACTTAAATATGGTGTGACGACGTAATGGGGCCGTCGCGGCTTGTTGACTGACTGCAATGACAACATGACTCTAATAACTGCTGTTAAAACTTTATCTTTGTTCTACTGTGACTAACAAATGGGTTAATGGTGTAAGAATTAATTGTCACAAGTAAGGGCCGAACCACACTATAGTGCCGATCATAGTCCGTTCTCGGTCCGATATCGGTCTGGTATTTTTTTTATACAAGAAACGTTACTGGAGTGTGATTCGACCAAAACGTGACTTTTACTGATAGTGTGAATGTACTTATTGCTTCTTGTATATACTTTACCACACCGATATCGGACCGAGAACGGACACTGACCTGCACTATAATCTGGAGCAGCCATAAATGTTCACCGCTGTTATATCGTGGGTTGATATTTCTGACTGGTATCTTATCTGGCATAGCGGAGATCGTTAAGAGCGTGGGCAACCCAGCCGGGTGTGAAGCCATATGTAAAGAAGCGTGAAGTGAGAGACGCACTGGAGGTAACGACTGGCACACCTGATATTTCTCTGATAGCAGAGTGGACTGTTGAAACAGCTGCGTGGTGGTTGTGGTCTGTTTTAGTCCTGCTTGGACTTTTTATAAGTCAAATACAGATTACACGAATTTCGAATTTATATAAATGAAAAGATGAGAACAACAACAACAAGTTAGATTTTTATTTACTAATAACAACAACGGCAGTTGTAAATTTAAATATACTACCTACAAATATATTTTTATTATTTAATTATATTAATCTCATCAATTTAAAATTAATAATTCGTAACATGAACACTTGCGATGTGCATATATATGGAATGCTTTGTTCAACCGACCATCTCATCAGCATAAGTCGCATTTATAATTTTATTGGCTACTATTTGTAAGTAGAAGTCATTTTACGGGTTACGATATTTATGACTGATATAAAGTCGTGACATGTGAATGGCGTTTTCTGATATTAATGAAGAGAATGCGACGATTACTAAACACTATTTATTCAAATATCGCTCAAAGTAGAGCAATTACAAGTATTGTATTATACAAACTGACATATATATATAAAAAAAATCTCGTATTAATTTATTATTACAAGGCCTATGTGCCATATGTAATAATTAGGTATAATTTATTATAATAATGTGGTATAATTTATCTGCGTACCTATTAAATTTCATCCGAATCTGTCCAGCCAAGTCAGTGTTGTCTTTCGGTGAAGGAAAACATCTCGTTATAGATTATATTAAATAGTTTTCGAAAGTGAAGTCTGCTAACCGTACTTGGCGAGTGTGGTGTACTATGGCCTGATACCCCTTGTATAGAGGCCCGTGACCAGCAATGGGATGATAAAAAAGGGTTAAAAACGTTGAAATACCAACAAACATATACACAAACTTTCGCTTACATAATAGTAGTCCAATGTCAAAATTTCTGATAAAATTCAATAAAGAAAATACAACTTAAATAAGATAGTGTTGTGTGTATAACAAGTTGTAAGGAATTATTATTATATAGATTACTTTTTTATTTGCAGGGTGGAGGGCGCCGCGAGAGCGAGGCGGGAGGCTGCGCGTGCGTCCCTCCCGCGCCCGCGCCGCCCCATCCTCTACGCGCCCTCGATGACATGCCGCCGGTGCTCAGGTTTGTTTGATTTTTAGACACTGTATAAGAAATTCCTGCTTTTGTATTTCTGTCTATTAACATATTTTGTTAATTTTTACCTGACTGCGACGAAGCTTAAAGGGGGAGTATGTGTTGACCTTATGTTATGTATGTATGTTTGTATATATGTATGTTCTCTTTAGTTCGTTCGTTCTTTTTAGTTAAATATTTTTTGGTAAATATTATTGAAATAGACATTATTATTGACACAGAGGCCTAATCTATAATTTTTAGAATTTTTATCTGCCTGTCTGTCTGTCTGTTACCGCATCACGTAAAAACCACTGGTGGGATTTTGATGAAATTTGGTATGATGATAGCTGGCTATCCGGGTCAACATATACATAGGCTACTTTTTACTGCGGGAAAATATCTCATCTCTGAGAAATCTATACTAAACGTTAAAATGTTCCTGATTCGTTAGTTATAAATAAAACTATCTTTTCGAATTTTCTGGCGACTTCATTTAGATTTTTGTTCCGTTGTATATGTAATAAAAATTTAAATTAAATGGGTAGTAGGTACCATTAATTTATGCGAAATTTCTAGCCCATATTATACGCGTATCAATGTACCAATAGTTTATCCTGATAATAAGGAAGTTCTTAAGCTGACATATTCTTTTATTGCATAAGAAGTTATTGCAAAATGCAAAATTTCATAACATGATACTTACTTGACATCACCACAAGACGTTCGTCATGGTATTCTATAGGACTAGACGCAAATCTTGTTAAATAAGCTTATTGTTATGTCAAAGAGAAATTTAAGTACAGAATGAGTTTGCATTTTTAATACTGTGAAATATTTTAACTGACGAAAAACGAAGAGGTAGCGTACCTCTTCGTTCTTTATATTGATGATGCTATGGAAACCAATCATGCTCCTAAATTAATGTGCACCAACTGGCCTTATACGTTCTTAGATAAATGTGTTTAAGAGCTTAGTTATAGTGCAACACACATACATATATCTAATATTATTCATAAAGTGTTGTGCCACTCTACTAATATTCTCCGTTAAGTCAGGTACTTAATAATACCACTTAAAAAATTATATATGAATGTATGTATGTCCTTTTTGATATTCGATGTAGGTTAAATATGTATGTGTACCTATATTGTTAAATAATATGTTGACTTATAAATTTTATTCTTTACTAGTTACTTACCCTCGCGTCGCTCGGGTGCGTCCCTGAGGTACCTACGCGAATTTTGGTTATAATTTCATGGGTTTTAATTTTTTGCGCGGAATCCTGATTCTTTTTTCAAAAGTTAAAGTAATATTAACGTATTTTAAATAAAACTATCTTTTCGGATTTTGTCAACGATTGATTGAACGAAGATTTAGGTCAACACCTCAGTCTCTGCCGTGACCATGGATGCTGTAAAGCATTCGAAACGTCGGGAAACAAAAATGCAAATAAATCCGCGACAAAATCCGAAAAGATAGTTTTATTTAAAATGTCAAATATTCGCGTAAATCTAAGAAAGTATTAATATTAACATAATTGAACTAATAATTTTTTTCCTTTGAAATGATGTTAAATTCTAACCAAGACAGGAGATAATTTACGACCCCCACAACGTGCGTTCACCTTGTCGTGGTGGGGGGGCTTAGTAGTGCCCGGCAACCCAACCGGGCGCGAAGCCAAGAAACGCACAGGCAGGTGGCCCACTTCGGTGGGCGGTGGGAGGTGGCCCTCTTCTTAGGGCAGTGTACCATGCGGGTTGTTCCTGGTACTTCTCTGATAGCAGAGTGGACTGTGGAGCAACCCCGTGGTTGTTGTGGTCTGCTTCGGCAGACCTGCCGTCGGGGCGTCGTAGTTGAATGCGTAAGCGATCCTGCGACGCCCCATTAAGACGGGGGAAGGTTTTGTTGGGTTTTAGTGGGTAGTACTGGCTTTGCCGGTGAGTCCCACACCTCGTGCGTAAATGCATTTCCCAACGTTAAAAAAAAAAAAAAAAAGGAGATAATTTACGAAAAAATTGTTGAGAAAGTAAAAAAATACACAAAATGCTGTTACTTATATGGCACAGATTATTTATTAGCTATTTCGTAACTTAAGGCATTTATGCCATCATTACATAAATTTCACAAACCCTTCTAACAAAGGAGAAAGGACACTGCAAAGTGCGAACAATGGACGATTCAACATAGAATAGGAATTCACTGATTCATTGAAGATTACCAACTTTGAAATTACTTACAAACTCCCAAATGCAGTCACTTCATTCTTATAACTTAGAAATAAGAGCGAAATTACAAGAGCATGAATAATTAGATTGTTGTAAACCTGTTATAAGGTCAACGACATGACAATGACTCTGAGGCAATTTCGCATGCATCATGCGTATCTAGATTTAGTACCTGATTATAGTTTTTACGTAAAACTTCGAATAATCGTGATAAAAGATAATGTATCATATGTAATGCACGTTGCAGAGCGAATTGTGAGTGCATTAGACAGGTGTTTGCAAAATAAACTTAAGTATGCCGGGCATGCTGTTGACGAGATCATGATTCATTTATGATTATTTGATTGTATCACTGTGTTGTTGTCGTTTGAATCAACTTGAAGAAGTAACTTTAGAAAAAATAGCTTTAAAACTATAGACTAAATTAATTTCTTTATTAACATCTATTTAATTCCCAAGGAGTGTTGATGTCAGGCAGGCGGCCGGTCGCAAAACTTTTGCCAAATGCAAATGTACTGCGCCGACCCCAAGTGATTGGGAAATGGGCAGGGAGATGATGATGATTAATATCTATTTAATATCTATTTTGATTTGATAACTAACAACGATAGACTTGCAATTTCTGAATTTTCTTTATATTAGAAGTGCAGTTTTTATGTATTTTCACTTTGTAAGTTACTCGTGGGCAATTATATTATTACATCACATCTTAAAATTTGATATAAGTTATTGTTGCAACCACCTACGCCAGACCCCATACATGTTTTCACTAAAACCACTACCTAAAGCTAAAAATTTGTCAGAATATTTCAATAACAGAAACAATAAGAACCTACGCTAGTCTAATCTGAGTATTATTTCCAGATCAAATCCTCTGTACACGGAGGAGGAAGAGCAAGAGGTAGTGATCATCGTGGATGAGGAGGTGGCAGATGAATCTGTAGATGCTTCTCGAGTGCCTCGCAGAGCTCCCTCGACATCGTCAGGTATTAAATTCTGATCTATACATGTATATGAAATTACCGGTCGGTCTGTTTCGAAATAATATCCTATGGACTAAAGAGACTAGTTTCGGTAATCTTTCTTACACTAAAAATATAATATAAATTAAGTGCGATTAGTTACTAAGAAAATTCAAATTCAAAAATTTTAAAAGCAAATATTAATTTATATATTCAACCTCTGTATCGATAATAATGACTATTTCAATAAGATTTTCCAAAATATATATATATATATAGGATTCGACTCAGAATTTTATTATATGTATAGATGACGTACATATGTATACCACGACCATTTTTGAAATATTACTTAGCCATATTTTAAAATAGTTTACCTATTAAAGAATTTTATCCTTGTATCTATCATTGTAGTCCTCATATTTTTTTGCTTTGCTTTTAAGCTTGGAACCAAAAAATAAATATTTAAAATAATTTCCCTTTGAAAATTAGACAAAATATTATGATTATATTTGATTTTAGTATATATACTTTGGCCGTCCTTCAAATAGAAAAAGTAAAAACAGTACCTCGAGGCCGCGTTGATTGCACGGACGCAAGTGACGTTAATAGCTCAATTAAAAAGAACAAGAAAATGATTAATAAGGTGTTAATTATATCATCATCATATTTTTATTAAATAACAATTGGCAATATCTTTAGTGAGTAAATAGAAGGAGAAATATTCTCAATTCCGTTTCCCATATTGTTATCACGCTGAATGGCTGGACGAATTTGGATGAAATTTAGTGCATCTATAGATAATGGAATAATATATAAGCTTACTAACAAAACCTTTTGATAAATGTTATTACTAAAGTTTACCCAAAAATCATGTTTTAGAAAAAAAGTATATGTTTTTAAATGAATTCGCAAAATTTGCTCAAATATCAGTAGCCAACACGCACTTGGCCAGCGTGGTGGACTATGGCCTGATTTCCCTCATACTGAAGGCCCGTGCCCAGCAGTGAGACTTTAAAAAGGGCTGAATACAACAGCAAAATGTCATTAGTTTAATCCCTCCACGACCGCGGATACGCCGGCGAGTCAGTTAACAATAGATTTCTTAGAATTTTAATTGATTTCTTAGAAATTACCTGGAGGTGAGGTGTAGTTAAACATTATCTATACATCCAGGATATGGCAGTGCTGGGGGAAGCCATGGTCGGGTGTCACCCAACTTACCAAAGAGTGAGGAGTTCGAAGAGCCAATCCATGGGCTCTCCGATTCGGACAAGAATGGATCTCAAAGCACGTCGGATTCTGATGGAAGTCCATCGTGTACGTTGTCGAGGAGCTTGAAAGAAGACATACGAGCATGTCTTGGAGGGTGCAAGTAGGTTTCATTATTTCTGATTATTAATTATATTCCGTGTGGTAGAAGTGTCTGTAGGAGCTCTCGTAACTATTGCACTAAGGAACACATCTATTGTAATAGGAATACAAACCTACATACATCTCCACCTTGACATTTTTACAAAAAAAAAAATCCCGCAACCACATTTCCTTAATTTTATAATATACCTACTCATACATACAATTTACATTAGAAACTAACTGTATACAAAATTATTGGTAACCGGAACTCGGATAGAGATCATTATTCATTATTTTATATCAAACTAGCGGACCCGACAGACGTTGTCCTGTCTACACGTCTTTAATTTGAAAATTTCAAACTTTTTTTAATAAGCTAAAACATTCTGGACCATTTTGATGAAAATTATTATTCAAATTGTGAATCTAAACCATTCCCAGATCCCCTTGAACACACACAAAAAATTTCATCAAAATCGGTCCAGTCGTTTGAGAGAAGTTCAGTGACATACACACTCACAGAAGAATTATATATATAAAGATATAAATATGTTAAGACATTAACACACAGAACCATCCAGTTCCATGGTAAGCTACGAGGCTTGACTTATGGATACCAAATAATTGATACACTACACATATATAACTTTAAATACATACATATTATAAATATAAACACCCATGACTTGAGTACAAACATTCGTGCTCATCACACAAATGACTGCCCCCAGCGGGACTCGAACCCGCGACCTCTGGCAATAATGAAATGGTTTCGTAAGACTATCATCTGCTGTGTGGTTATATCGTTGCCATAAGCGATTCAATCGTTGCAGAACAGTAAGCAAGTAAAATTGCAGAATGAGATCTTGTTTACGCCTGTACATTTGAAATTATTATTGAATAATTAATATCTACTGATTTAAAATTAATAAATTTCATTACAATTGGTTAGATAGATCAATCTATACTATTAAATGGATAGCCGATTTTTTTGTTCTTTTATACTGCGATAACTACTGAACCTATCGGAATAATACTCATACCATAAGATGCAGCGTGTTTTGGAGAAGGTTTTAGTATATGATATATGCGGCCGGAGCCGCAGGAAAACGCTAGTAATATTAATATATTAGTATTCTTTTCCGTTTACTTCATAATACCACTATTGACAACGAACTACACGGCGACACTACAGCGAACTCGAAAAACAAAATACCTTCTATTTTTTAGTAGGTAATTTAATATTAAGATAAAAAAAAAATATGTTGAAGATGATTATTTTAACTTTGAGATAATATTTTTTTCATCCCGCGGGGGAAAGCTGCCAGTTAGAATTTTGGCAACAAATTCTGGACATGACTTGTTTATTCTATTTCCAATTATTTTCATTTAATTGTATATGTATACAAGGTTGTTATTAAATGTCTAAAAAATCTTTTATAGGGAATATACAGAAAAACCACCAATAAGATGGGAGAAGGACGTTGGTCACGTCGTCGAGGCGGCTATCCGAGGGGCTGGCGGCATCAGCGCCGCTAGAGCTCGACTCCACGCCGCTTTACTTGCTTTACACGAACCACAAGTGCATAGAGGACCCAGTCTCCCATACTGTGGACCTGGAGTCAGACCTGGAGATGTGACCATGATGCCCAAGAATGAAATGTCTCTATTGGTAAGTCTAGTTTTTGTGTAAAACTTTTACACGCGAATATAATAGTGCCTTCTAGTCTCTCGTAATATGAAAACCATTTGATTGTTTTGCTGCTACGCTGTCAAACATCTAAGTTTTATGTGTAGTCCTCAATTCGTTAGTTTACAGGTTATAATTTTATTAGGATCATGTTCTTGTATTGTCATTAGCCATTTAAAAGCCGATAGAGATGGTTTTAATTATTTTGAAAACTTAATAAATTACTTCTTTATTACTTCTACAATAACAATAGCTCTTTTTATTTAACTGCAGCAAAGCCCAAGGGAGGGTTATATATTTGACCTATTTGTGTGTTAGTATATAAACTTAACAAGACTCGCAGCCAAGATAAAATGCATCCGACTGAATAATAGTATGTTCCTTTGTCAAGTCGTTCTCATCTGTTCAGTTTATTTTTTACGCAGTCGGATTTTTTTTAATTTATTTTTTTATTATACTAAGTCAATGCAAAATTCATAAATGTTTCTCATTTTGGTAAGTTTAACGTACTCTTTATTTATAATATGTAATTAGTATACTAAACGATGCCGACATTAAAAAACATACAGTAGCGGAAAACTACAAATCAATTTAATATTATTTAAACTTCTAAATTAAGATATAAGCTGTAAGCATTTCTAATAAATCACGCCTTTAGCGTAAAGAATAACAAAGAATAAAATATTACATTGCGAAATTTAGATAACAACTCGTTTGTTAGAACAACTGAAAATATTGATGCTAATCTTTACGACTTGTAATTGCTATATAGATATACTCTGTTTCTTACTGATTGAATTAATTAAAAGTTTTCATTGAAATATCAAATTTTTGTCTTTCTTATTCTACAGAAATCTATAACGTTCTATATGTATATACATATGCAAAACATTTTACAAACAAACCAGTGTTAACTTTAATTTTTACTCATATATCGTGAAATCGTGTAGTTCGAGCGATATTTTAAATGGTCATCGTTACTGATATATCATTATGGAAAACTGACAGGTTTTGAAGTTGAAAAAAGGCGTTTCTGAAAGTTTCTATGATGATGTTCTCCTGACCGATTCCGGCCACGGCGGCCAATCTCATTGAGATAAGCCAACTGCGCAGGAGATATTATAGTGCAAGTGTACGCGCAGACACAAGTGCACTCTCTATCCCTGTCACTCTCATACTCTGGTGGGATGATATACTTTATATGATAACCTACGTTGGGAGTGGGAAGTTAGAAGTAGTTATAAAAGAAGCCTTCCAAAATAAAGAAAACACTCCTTCCTAACTACAGTGTTGAATGTCAAATCCGATTCTGATTATAAGATAATGTAATACGACTAAGTCGGAAGCGAAGCGAAGTATATTATGTTTTAGCGGATTCTATAAAAAGTGAAAATTATTCGATGATTTTTTGTCAAAAATATCTTAGTTAATAGATTTACGAGAATATTTGACATTTTAAAAAAAAAACTTTTGGTTCGCGACATTTCGAATGCTTTACAGCAAAAAAAACAAAAATCAAAATAAATATATATATATATATATATATATATATATACAAACATAGTATACTTGTACAATTGTAAGTTAATATAATTAAACTATTATATATAAAAAAAATTGCTTTGAAAATCAAAGTGATCGCAAACTAGATACCTGTCTAAAACAGTGATTACGCTACGTGAGTTCGCTCTTAATGTCAATCAAGTGAAGACTACTTAATGTGGCCGTACATGTGTATCGATGCTTAGATAAATATTGTTCAAATTGCAAAACACTTGTTGTTACCATGTAAAAGCTGAATGGAAACAAAGAATGGTACCGCTAGAAGTCACGACGGACTGAGGCTGCTCAGTTTATGAGTTATTACATGATAATTAAGCAAATAACATAAGAAGTACTTCATTGATTTTAACTAGATATTTAGCGGTATTTTATTTTAAAACACAGTCGGGTAAAAATCTATTTCAGATTCAGAGAAATCGAGTTTTAGCCGTCTTCAGTCAAAGATTTATTTTAATGAATAAGTAATATCTCACAAACTGGAGATCGGAATTATCCGCTACTGGTCGAACCTAGAGTCGAACCATTTAAATAAGTTAAGGAAAATTGTTCCACTCAGTAAACGATAAAGAATTAAGAAACTAAATCTATATTAGGTCCTGTGACCTGTCCAAACTTGTCCTTTCCAAGGTACAATAATAACATGGTTTTACTTATTTCAAATACTTTAAGGAAAAAATTTACAAACGCTTTACCTAACGGGTTCACATATAAATATAATAGAGATGTAACCATGGCTTCGCACGAAATGTATTCATTCATACCACGTGCATTCATACAAGTATGTGGGACTCACCGGCTAGAAAAGCCAGTACTACCCATTTAAACCCAACAGACCCCCCCTCCCCCGTCTTATTGGGGCGTCGCAGGATCACATACGCACTCAACCACGACGCCCCGACGGCAGATCTGCTGAAGCAGACCACACAACCAAAGGTATAGATTAAAAACGTAACCCTCTTTTTGGGCTTTACCGCAGTCGGGTAATAAAAATACTTAAATCTTCTTCTCCCTGCCCATTGCCCAATCACTTGGGGTTGGCGCAGTACATCTTCTGTACTGCTGAAAGTATTTGGCAAAAGTTTTACGACCGGCCGCCTTTCTGACGTCAACCCTCCTTGGGAATGCTATTGCCTCTCTTTGTCTGGATGGTATCACGGAAGTCTTATAGTATGCACTTTCGATTTTTTTTGTCTTTTGAAACTTTTTTTATACTATTACTTGAATTTTGAATATTATTTTCGGATAAATTTTAAAATAAGTTTTTATTGCACAATAAATTTTGTTTTGACGTTGTCAATTTTTTTCTAAATTTAAAGATACTTAAATACTGTTCTAAATAACTATGATCATCAATCCTTATACAGAGCGTTACAATAACAAATTTAAGTTTAAAGTATGTATAAACAGACTTACGAGTATGTACATAAAAATTCGTTTGCCAAACGTAGCGTTATGACCTTACTACGACTTCTGTAAGATAAATCGTGTAGCAATATGTTAAGCGGTTTGGTAAATAGCTTCTTATATGTCATAATCAAATAATTATTGTGAAGAAAGCTATTAATGATTGACGACAGGTTTTGCTCAGTTAGTAGTGACCCTACTTGCTGTGCCAGCGGTCGCGGATTCGAGTCCCGTTGAGGGCATTGGTTTGTGTGATGAACACGAATGTTTGTACTCTAGTCATGGACGTTTATATTTAAATATGTATGTATTTAAAGTTATATATGTGTAGTATGACAACTATCTCGTATCCATACACAAGCCTCCTAGTTTACCATGGAACTAGATGGCGCTTGTTTGTTAATGTCCCAACATATTTATATTTATTTATATTATAGGCTTTTATTCTTGTTATATTGCCACAATAATTCGAGTGTTTGAAGAGTAAGTTGTAAAGCTAAAAGGCGTAGGTACATGTTTGGTTCAAAAATGTAGGTTTCCTTCCACATAATTAAATTCCATCCATACAAATCCACCATAATCGTATTTTTTCATTTTTGTCTTTAGAAGCGTGATCTAACAAACTTAGAATATTATAATTTAACTAGCATTGCCCGCGGCTTCGCCCGCGTTCAAATGACCAAAAAACAAATTCTTAGGTTTTACATATTAGTATGCTCTTACATTGCAGTTTTTGTATTTTTTCTCAGAAATTAGATATTTTCCCGCGGTAAAAAGTAGTATCCTATATGTTGACCAGGATAACCAGCTATCACGATACCAAATTTCATTAAAATCCCTCCGGTGGTTTTTCCGTGATGCGGTAACAGACAGGCAGATAGACAGACAAAAAATCTAAAAATTATAAATTTGGCATCTGTAATAATGTCTATTTCACTAAGATTTTCCAAAAAATATTTAATGTACAGATTCGGCTTTGTTACAATTTTATTATATGTATAGATAAGCTGCTTACGAAATTGTGCGGGATGTTGTACTATTTGTCAAACAAATTTTACGCGATCACTAGCGATTATTGATTATAGTTTCAAGGTAGGCAATGATTTTGTATTTTAAATACAATTACAAATAGCAACATTTTAAATGTCATGAATGTGGTTAAGTGGAGTGTGTCAGTCAAACACTTAAAATATTGCACTTGAATATATTATATAAAATCTTCTTCAAATGTTAAAAAGTTGACGTAATTATTTATTTGCAGATCGAATAACCTCCTTTTTTTCGAAGTCGGTTAATAAAAAATAACCCAAATGTCTAGCACAAATCTATACTACATATTATACTTAATAAAATTCTGATTCGATTCTGTACAATAAATATTTTTTGCAAAATCTTATTAAAGAGCTAAACCAAGAATAATGTCTATTTTAATAAGCTTTTCAAATTATAATTATAACACCCCTCTTTTTGTGACGGGGGTTAAAAAGCCAATATCATTTCGGCTAAAACTAGCTACGACATACGAATCTTTATATATTAAATACTATGCTGCAAAAAGAGGGACAGACTAACAAATACATTTTAATATTGCTTATAATACCTATGATCTTCACAATAAAGCCTCTAATCGAACCTGTGACGTATTTGGTAAGAGATACAAAATGTACTAAACAATTCGACCATAATCATTATTGAAAATTTGAGAAAATATGAATAGAATTAACCTATCTTCATATATAAGCAAAAACTGTTTCCAATTCTTTTTATTGATGGCACTAAAGTTAGTCAATAGCTACTAAACAAAAAAAAATCGCATGCCAAACAGAGCAGAAAAAGGTACTGAACTATTTTGTTTTTGCCTATTTATATACATACTAGCAGAACCTGCGGCTTCGCTCGCGCTAAAACTACAAAAAATCTCTAAAAAGGTAGTTTCATACAAACTTTCATCCTCTATTTTACCCCCTTATAGGATGAACTAGCATTGCCCGCGGCTTCGCCCGTGTTCAGATGAC